ATTTTGTTTTTATTTGAATTTTTTGCTTGGTGAGCTTTTTTTTTTTTTCCTGTATTCTTCTGTAACTCTAATGCAGGCCAGCCGCTTTTTATATTAACAGCCAGATGCTACTGATGTTAAATAACATCCAACAGGATTATTATTCCAACTTGTGTTCAGGTCATAGCCCGGATTTGTTGGCGTGATTGTTCTGACGAACGCTGTTTTGAACAGGGAGCCAACCGAGCGGCAGAGGAGGCGGAGAGAGAGCGCCGCGACCGAGAGGACAGGCTGAGACATGGCAGGAACCCGGCGACCAGAGGAGTCCCCGCCGCATCGGGGCGACCTCGCGGGGGCCAAGACGGGGCCCCGCCGCTGACACCCACTTCACATACAGGTTTGCAAATGATCACTCGCTAATGCGTCATTCACACCGGCTAGCAAAGTCATTTTAATGGTACTGATGGGAATTGCGCTGTTTGAAGTTCACCCTGGAATTTACAAGCTTCAAAAGTAGTATCAGGTGTCGGCCAACTGCAATGTGGGAGTTCCAGACGTCAACACGTCTTGTTTGCTGGTACTTGGAAGTTGTTGAAGTTCCCCCTCTAATCTCCAGCGTCCCCACGTCAAGCATCCGGCATGGAGCGTGAGCGAAAAGTCAGCATGCGACTGCATCGCGGCGCCCCCGTCAACGTCTCCTCCTCGGATCTTACTGGACGGCAAGACAACTCGCGCATGTCCACCTCGCAGGTACAAGACCCTTGACTTTATTCCTGCTCATTGAGATTTTTCAAGCGCATATTGTAGGAGTCCCCGTTTTGATGCCGACCCTCCTCAGACATGGGAAGAGCGTTATTTTCATCTTTTGTTGAAGAACTAACCATCAAGCAGATATGGTTGCCCTGCTCGCTGTGAATCGTGACACGGGGTCGCTGCTGTGTGTGCTGCTGATCGCCATGAATCACACAAAAAAAAAAAAGAAAGAAATGCATGTCATGCAAGTGAATTAATTACACGTCTCTAAATTCTGTCTGCTGCTGTAATGGAGTTGAGATCATTGTTACCGAACAACTAATCAACTGCTATGTTCGAAAACACGGTGGAAAAGCTTAAAAAAAAGCCCATCAAGCGAGTTCCCTCCACTTTTCTTGTGCAGCAACTCGGACCTCGTGTTGAGGTGCTGCTCTTTTCGTCTGTTTAACCCGTAGTGCAGTCGCTCCATGACAAGGTGTCTGACTTGACGTATTGGGCCTTGTCTCTCCCTTCCCCCAACCTCAGAATAGCATTCCCTACGAACATCACGCCAAGTAGACGCTCGCCACATACTTGTGTGACCGTGGCAACACTGGGTGAGTTCCACAGCCCCTGTAAGCACCAGGAATGCATTTATCCATCTTCCAGTTCGACACTGTACTGCCTTACAATGATGCTCCTCATTCAAGCATGTGTTTTTTTTCCCGCACTTTTACACAAATCTCTGCTATTCATTCTGAATAGTGGAAGATATGTAACTAATAACGGGCGAATTTTCTTTTATCAAACCTCGCTCGCCTCAAGTGCGAACGAGGCAGCCAGTAAATGCGTGTAGAATAGACTTGATGCATCTGAGGTCAAAGGTTGCAGTCATGAGAGCTGGTCTGGATAATGCATCACAGTGTGCACCGTAGTCCAAGAATGTAACACCCCCCTCTCCCCCTCTGCCCCCTCAATTGCCGACTCAGTTCCGAAAAGAATATCCTTTTGAAAAGCTTTGTCTTTCTGGCTTGTTGCTTGCACCGTTGGTTTGATGCCACATACAGCAATGGCACGCATACAATTCACTGGCCCAAAATGGACTCCTTCCATCTTTATCCACCCCCCCTCGTATGGCTTGGTGCAGTTGTGGGTTTCTGATGTTGTTTTTACCTGCCAAAACCTGCGTCCCTACATCCCCTCTGTAATTTTTTTTTTTTTCTGACCCCGTAACACTTGCACGAGATTAAGCTACTTGTTTTTGCATCTCAGCTTAAAGCTTCCTCATGGCTCTGGCTGAAGGCACGCCATCCAGTTGTTCCGACACCTAGTGCGCTGTGTTTTTCAAAGGAAAAGGGGTTTAGAATGTTTCGGTGCGTAAGCTGCACCTTCGCCAAAGTGACAACCCAAATGACACACACGCACACACACACTGTGTGTTGAGTAATGACTGGATGGCTGCAAACTTTTTCTGCTGGCTGTGAACTAATTTTCCAGGATGGCAACCTTTTACTTGTATTATGTGGATTTTTTTTTTTTTTTTAATCTTCAACTGCACAACAGATTGGTGTTGTTTTTCTTTTGTTTGTTAAATTATTGGTGCACTGCTGTGCAAAACATTGACAGATAACCATTACACTTGGTCCTCGGTTTAAGATAAAGTTGCATTCTGATGACGCTGGTGTAACCACAAAGTCACAACACAGGGTAGCCTCAAGCCCTGTAACCTTTACAAAGTAATTATGTCATAATTAACTCCTTATTAATGCCAAGATCAACTTATGAAAAAAAAAATCAGTGCCAAAGGTCGAATTCCGTATTTGGATATGTTTTGTTATTTGGGAGGGATTTTGATCCGCAGCTCATGCGCTGGTTTTTTGAATTGCAAGCGCTTTGAGGAGTGGTAATGAGCCAAACTGCCAGCAGAGGGCAGCAGTGCGCCATTTTAGAAGTGAGATGAGGGAACCGTGACTGTCTTGGCTCCTTCGGTGACTCACACCAGACAAAGATCAGCTGATACCGACGTTGTGGGAAGAGAGACCACAAAAACAGGTTGGATAGGGGCTCCCGAGGACTGGACTCGGGCAACCTTTCCCTTCCTTGTTGCGTCCCCGGGCGTTGTTTGTCCACTTTTTACCCGGCGCGTATGTGACAAAGTAGCACCTGCTCGAAGCCGTTTGATTCCGGCGACGCTGAACAGATTTGGCCCCATCTACGCTAACTCTTATTGACTTTCGCATCACGAGAATAGCCCGACTCACATTCTGCTTGACCGCAGTATTATCTCATATCCTCGTTTCGCAAATGTTCGAAAGTGTCTTGTCAACAACGCAGCTACTGTATTTCCGTGTTTGTTCAAACGAGTCCGCTTTGCCTGCTGGTTGCATCTGTGATTGGCTGAATGTGCTTGGTCAAAGGTGACGTAAGCGATTATTGAGCCTGATTTTTCACTTCCGACCAAAAATGGTCAAAAGGCCAGATTATCAAGTGGCTCTAAATAGGATCCACGCCCATTCTTTAAGGGGTGTCTTCAGACTCCACCCCCCAATCTGCTCCAAATTGGATCGCGCCTCGCCTGACGCTCCTTTTTTCCTTTTTCTTGTTTCCTCCAGATGGTGTCGAGCGCACTGCCTGCTATCCTCCATCCTCTCGCTCCTCGATGAGCCAGTATCACGCAGCCACGCAGTCTAGTCTGCGCCCACTGAGACACGAGACAGACTCAAAAGTACTATTGCCACTCTCTGAATTACTACTGCATCAGCTACCACGGGAAGCCACTTCACTTCGACCAGCTAATTGGAAGTGCTTTCTTACTGACTGCTCTCAGTACTCTCACCTTGTTGACTTTTGTCCCCTTAGACCACCCCCAAACCGCGTCCCCTTTTGGTTTTTGTGTCTCGGTCTAAGTGTTGGACTTTAGGACTGTTTTCTGTCCACTTTTGCGGAAGATATCTGGACAAGCTGCACTGCCCTTCCCCAAGCCGGTCACACGTTTTTGGTTTTTGTTTTTTTGTTTTTTCGAAGCATGCCTAAAGACAACGATTGTTTCCAGGGCCAACATGGCAACTTCTTCGTATTTTTCCAAGTATAATCGACAAACTCTCTGAATCCCACTACATACTCAGTTTATGGCCCAATGTCTTTACCGTCTTGTCACACTCATCAATGAAACATCTTTTTTTTTTTTTTTTGTAGTATCTAGTTAAAGGGTGTGTATGATTACACACACACATCCAGTGAATGTACCAAACATGTTTTGGTATTTCAGACGCAGGAGGCTTATGTATTCTCCCTTCAGTTTCAATACATAGTTTTTGTCAACAGTGCAGTGTGCAGTGGGCCCTGTTCCCTTTCTTAGTGTCGGCCAAAACAACTGCACTTTATGAAAGGTGGCGAGCGCTTCATTTGACACTGTTGACCAGATTTCTCTTCACTGTGTCCAGAGAAAACATTTTTGCGTCGTCTCCTTTGTATTGTTTTTGAAGCTGTGAAATACTTGCAATGTAGATGTGTAAATATATCTTTTTGTCTTTTGATTTCCTTCCTTCTTAGTTGGGGATCCGAGCATTATTTCGAAAGCTTTGCTTTAGGAGGCCTGCTCTGCGGCAAGGTTAGGCAGCCGTAATTATGTGTAGCATCTGCTTGTCGGTGTGCGTCCTGTCACCCCACCCCACCCCCGCACCCGTCCGCCCCTTTTTGTCACAGAGCAGTGCTGGTCGCGGGCACTGTACTGAATGTGGCCAATTCTTTTTTTTTTTGTTGTTGTTTCTTCATACACTTGGCTGTCAGGGGTACTGACTGAGTTTTTTTGTGTGTGGGTGTGTGTTTGTGTGGGTGTGTTTTTTTTTTGTTTTTTTTCCTCTATCCCCCCCTCCCCCAATTCGAATTTAATTGTGTCTTGGACGTCTGGCTGCGAGTAGCCATGTCTGTTGAAATAATGCCCAGTAGTTTTTGATTTTGAAACTTCTTTAGTCAGCGAGTTGAAGAAAAATTAGTCACTGGGCCAGCAACTTTTGTTCTCACATTTATATTTGCCACTGTATTTGTGTACCTAAATTGTAAATAAATTACCTCCTTGTATCTTTTTTTTTTTTTTTCGTGCCATGGCTGTCCGCGACGATCTACCTGAACCAACGCTGGGGTACTGTTCAAGCTTCAAAAACTGTATGAGCTTATCCAAGGACAATAGTTGAAACTAGACAGCTCAAAATAAGAAAAGAAAACCTTCATTAGTCTAGAAATGTCTCTTTCCATGTGGAACTTACTCAAAAAAAAAAACTCCGTGCAGAAAAGATACACACATAGATCATTTATTTTTCAGAGTACAGTACAACAAACATGTATTGTCACGTTGCTTCAGCCAAAATAGATTTCATTGCATTTTTGTTGGCTTCCCAACTCATTTTGAGAGAAAGCAGACATCACAACATTTATTGAACCTGACACGCCACGTCACTCCAGTTGTGTAACATAATAAAGAACAAACGAAACGGACATAAATCAAGGTTACTTCACTGCTGAAATAATAATGGCAAAGTCATCAAGCAGCATCGAGTCTCAAAAAAATGAACGTAAGGTCTAAATATTACATTTTGCAGCATGTGCGGTATTAGAGCTTTGCTTGGGGAATGTTATTGCATTTGGTGTGTCCCATTAATAGTGTTAAACAAAAATGAAATGTACTTGTGGTTTAAAAGAAAAAAATGGACATCAAAGTGTATATTGGGACTTTCCCAATACATGAAAATCATAATGGTCCGTGTATTTGAAGAGCATGAGTGGTTTCTTTTTTTTGGTGGGGGGGGGGCTTTAAGGAAAATGCAATATTCACTTTTTTTTTTCCCCCACATCATATTTATTTGGTTTGTAAAGCTTAGTGCTTAGTGTTAGTGCTTTTTTTGTGAGCCCCTACTTAGCTCAACAAGATGAGCAAATTATTCAAGTGTGAGGCAGTGCAGTCGTACAAAACTGCAAACTATTCATAAAATGCCCTTGGTGTACAGCTCATGAGGTGGCAGGAGCGGAGTAAAAGCAAAAATATTTCAGAGAAATTCTTGTTTAAAATTGGCAATCCTACGACGGTATTGAGGTTAAAGGCCAATTTACTGCCCAACTTCCTTCCTTTTACTCAATACTTTGATCATATTTGACGTTTTGGTGTTTCTCCTCGTAATACTGATACAGTCTCTATCATGACATTTTTATAATAACGCTTCAGTATTCTCCTCTCCACCGCCCGTCTGCTCATTGTCCTCGGCTGCATTCAAATTGTCAGCTTTCCTGTTGTGTTTCCCCCTTTCTTCCGCTTCTTGCGACTCCTGCGGGCCGTCTCTGTCATCGCGGACGCTCCCCTTCTCCGCAGACGTCAAGGCCATTTCGAGCTGTGCCTCCGGCTCTTCCTGTTTCCTTTTGATGCACAGGAAGTTCCCCAGGGCGATCACAATGGCTGACAACGTGACCTCGCAGCCCGCCAACAAGAAGACGTACATGTACTTATGGGTGGCATCCAAGAGGCGACCTGGAGTAGAGGACGTCAGCCTACGTCACTTAAGGTACTTTACCGGCAACATATTGACGCCATATTGTTACAATGCTTTTTCATCATATCTAAACTATTTTTACCCTTTGACATAAAAAACGTCCATGGCAGGACGGTCACAATCAAGATTTTTTTTTCTTTTTTTTTTTGTATGTTAATCAAGCATATCCTTCACAACATTGTGTCAAAAAGATCTTAAATCCTGTGAAAACTGGACCCTTGTGTATTTTATGTCGTCCTGTGCAGGCACATGCACAGATAGACCCCTAGTGGTGCCCATGAGGAAAGTGCTCTTGACCTTGAGCCCCTTTTTCTTTATTCATCACTCAAAAAAAAAAAAAAAAACTCTGTCATCAACTCCCCCCTCCCCCTAAAAAAGAGGATTTCAACGTCAGATGATGGGGATTTATTTGAGTTACCCCCCCCCCCCACCACCACCTCTATTTGAAGAGGGGCTAGTTGACTTTTGACATTGTGTTTGGCTTCCCGTCACCTCCTTAGTCCATCGACTTATTTACTCTGTTGATTGTGTTCCCGGAAATCAATACCGAAGTTAAATAAATAAATTCTGCCCCCGTAAATATCTGCGCACGAGACTTAGTATGAGGAGCTCAACTCAAGTATTCCAAAACATAGTTAAGAGAGAATTGGCTTACCTGCTCCAGGAGGTCCCACCAATACAGCTATTGCTTCCATCAGCAGCACAAGGCCGATGGCACTGGAAAACTTGTCCGTCCCCACAATAGCCATCAGGACCTCAAACTGGAGGGCTCCCACCATGCCGTATGACATGCCAAAGAAGATGCAGAAACCCACCAGGCCCCCATAGGTGTTTGCCTGAATTCCGAGACAAGAGGTGTTCAAAGATGCCCGGCGTCCGTTCAATATCCCGATCGAAAGCCTTTCTCCTTACCTGTGATCCGATGAGATCGGTGACTCCGTTGAAGATCATTGCAAAACTGAACAGGTAGACGCACCTCGGCCGTACCCACTTCATACCTGCAACGATTCCGCACAGAGGACGAGCAAACATATCTACGAATCCCAGAATGGTGAGCAGCAGTGCTGAAGTCGTGTCCTCGTAGCCGAGTCCTTTAGCGTAGTTGACCACGAACACGGGGGGCACAAACAAGCCCAGCACCATAATCGAGGCTGCGACGGTGTATATGACAAATCCTCTGTCCCTGAACACACTGAAGTCCAGCAGTTTTTTCTTTGGCTGGAGCTTCTTCTCCTCTGTGGCTTTAAGATGGCCATCCTCCAATTCGAGATGTTTCTTTGGTGGCAAGAGGGGCCTCATGAGGGCACCGCAGGCGCAGCAGTTGAGCAGCATCCCCCCAAGTATGAGAAAACCACCCCTCCAGCCATACTGATACTGCAGAATTTGTCCCAGGGGAGAGAGACAGCACAGAGCCACGGGGCTGCCTGCCGCTGCCAGGCCGTTGGCCAAAGGTCGCTTCTCACTGAAGTAGCGATTTAGCATGATTAGCGATGGCTGGAAATTCAATGCCAGGCCCAAACCTGAAATGACAAGAGGGCACTGTTACAGACATAATTGAGAACCACGTGACTCCCAATGGGATCAACGAAAAAACGGTTACATAAGATAAGAGGACTGTCATCCAAGAACTGGAATATTTGTCGTGAGTGAGAATCACAATCAATGTAGGGTTTATGCCAAAGCGGCCCCTTTAATTATCCAAATCCTTTTTATATTGTTGTAATGGTTAATACACCGGTACGATCGAACTTTGTAAACTTTTCACGTATTTTCACGTTGGCCAAAGATCAAAATGTCCCGTTTTATTTCCATTTTCACCAAATGGAAAGGCTTAATTTAGCTGCAATTCACCATTTTGTCCACTAGGTCGCGCCACTTCACTCCGATTGTATTTGAGTCCGCCTTGCTTGAAAATCCACGGCAATACACAGTGGGATTTAAATTAGAAGTTGTTCTACTTTGTTTTCCAAACTGCTTTGAGTACTCAGTCAACTGGACAATGCAACAGTATTTCACGGAGTAATCGATGCACACCAATAAAAGTACATGAATAAATACTTTGGCAACAGTTGGCAGTAGAAGCTTTTGCCTTGATTCTCATTATGTTGAGTCGTCTGCCTAATGCAGACGTTCTGCTGGAACGCTACCTGTAATGACACCGATGCAAAGGTAAATGTGGATGATGCTGGTTGCGAAGGAAGCCAGAACCATTCCCAGTGAGGCAAATAGTCCTCCGACCATCATTACCGGTCGACAGCCAAACCTGTTCACCAATACACTGCACACGGGACCTGGAGGGGGGGGACAAAAAACAATGAGACCCCACCAGTTTCATTGCGGTATTATTATATTTAAGTCCAACGCCGTGTGTCACGTGCGCCGACCTGTGCCATAGAGCATGGCAAGCAAAATGGATGATATCCAGGCGGTGTCACTGTAACCAACGTCAAACTCCCTGATTAACTCCTTGAAAAAGACGCTGACGGCCTTGGGGAAGGCGTAGGAGAATCCGGTGATGACGAAGCAGCCGACCAACACCGCCCAGCCCCAGCCGCCATCGGGTGCCTTCACCCCAGTAGGTCCATCGTCCACCACCGCACCCCCCATTTTGTTCTCGGGTTGATGTGATTGTAGTCAGAAGCTGCAAAAGAAGAAGAAAAAAAGCCCACATCATCCAGTTAAACCACCGTTGTTTACGGTGGATCTATTTTAAATCGTTGTGAATACTTGGAGGTTAGGGGCAATCAATAAATGATGCTAAGATGGGAACACGGCGTCATTAACTGTTGACAGCTTGTCAAGCCTCGCGCATCCTCGTGAGCCACTTGGTTCTCCTACTGACTCTAATAGCCACTCAACATGAGTCATCGTCCTGCAGTATATGTATTTTTGTCATCTTCGCATTTTTGTTTCTCTTTCGTCATTTTTGTATTGTTTATATTCATGATTATTTTATGCATAGGGTGTCCCAAAAATCACCATACACCTTTTTTTCTGTTTAAAATTCAGGTTGCATCCAAACAGACGTGAGGCCATCAGGATTTGCCATCTTTGACCAGTTCCAGTTTTTGGAAGCATATCATTCCATTGCCCGCTGCGTATAATTGACATTGGAGCAGCTTTATACGCTTGCTGCCTCTCTAGAGGTTTTGCGGTCCCTTTCATGCATGTTGGCACCATTTTGAGAAGCTCTATGGACATCGCGCTGCTCCAACATTGAGTAAAAATTATGCTATGGGAATGCGGTGTCCATTTTGAAATCTGTTTGAGACCCAAATTGCACAACATACAAAGATACGCAGCTACGGACTGGAACTCTTTGTTTGGTAGCCGGGTGTGTTATGAAATGTATTGGAGCATGTGTTGACACCTGATAGGCCTATGTGGAATGTGTTTTATTGTATTCCTGGCTCCGAATAACATATGCCAAAATAAACCAGGCCAAACTCAATAAATGTCTTAAACATTTTAACATTCTTAGTCCGACAACTGTATAAAAAAATGAAACGTTTTGATGACGATAGATGATGGCATAGTTTAGTTGTTACCCCTCACTCACTCACTTTGTAAGAACTGTCGTCACACAAATGTAAAAACAAGGCCAACACGCTTAATGTTAAACTGTCAACACAGTTAAAGGACTGCGATAAGTGACGATGTAATGCTGGAAGTCTTCTCACATTGTTGTGCAGAAAAGACACAAAAATCCAAAGAAACAAAAACACAGGCGTTAATACTTCAATCCTCATCTAACGGAGGTCTTGTGAGGCAACCGGTGTGTGACGAACATTCCTTCTACAGGTTCAGCTCGACAGTGCCCTATTCAGTCTGACTGTCAGTCTTGTGAAATGCCATACGGGATGTGTCGTCATTGTATTGAGAAATGGAGAATCGTGTTTGAGCAATTTCTTGATAGTGAGAGCGAGACCAACTCAAACTTTAAAATCTGCTCGCTCGTTTGGGCGAATTCAATCCAAGAAAGACACAAGATCTAGAGGGCCTTTAATCCAAGAGGGCCTTTGCACTAGATAGTGCTTGAGGTGCCATAAATTTCTGATGACCACAAAATGGGACTAAAGTCAAACAAGTAATACAAAAGTTGATTACATAGGCGACCATATAATTTGTTTCTCGTCAATATGTACCTTTTATATTATTCTGTATTGTGAGACACCCGCACCCCTTTTATTTTATTTTTTGGCTCCCTTCCTATCAAAGGCACAGTGTCAGTGACCCCAGCGCAACTCCGCCATTCTGTTCAGTGCCAAAGAAATATCAACACCATTACTAATTTAAGACCCTCTGCAATACACTGGACACACACGCACACACATGCACGCGGATGGAACATTTCTCATCTCTAACAGTCAGATGAAAGGACTCCAGATACCAACAGGCTTTATGTGTGCTACAGTTACAGAGTAAAACCATCGACATGTCTGTGCATTGAAGTGTCCACCTACAAACTTACCTACCAACCTATCTATTGATCTATCTACCGATCTATCTATGTCACAGGTGTCCCACTCAAGGTCAGGGACCACATCACATTATATAGCTCACTTCAACCAACAAATAAATTAACAAAAAATAAATACGTTGTGTACTTAACTATTTGCATTCCACAATTTTCCATGACTTCTGATTTCAATTTCCATTTGTTTTTAACAATGATACGTTTCGGCGATTATTTCATGAAATTATCTTTTTATTGGGAATCAGGTGAGTATTTCTATAGACATCATTTCAAGCTCTCCTTGGCCCTTTCTTTCGAAGGTGACATTACTCAAACATTTGGTTTTCTCAGTCAAAGCGGCCGTCTGGGAGATCCATCATCCAATCCGCTCGACCATAAACCATTCATCCAACCATCTATCCATTTATCAATCTACATGTATTACAGTCATTCGCGGATTGACTATGGTTCAGAGAGTGCAAATTCGGTCTCGAGGCGACTGTCAAGAGCAACCCACGCTACGTACGCCACTGCTTCATAAGTCATAAAACACCGGGATCGACGTTCTTTTCCATTCTTTTACATTTAAAGTGTGTGTGTGGCGGGGGGCAACGTATTTATTTTTTCGGATGTATGGATATGGATTCAGGCGGTATTGACTAATTTCGAGTTGTACTGACTATTCTGGGAGACTCCAGCTGTCTCGTTGACGAGATGGACGAGTGTGACGTCACACTGATGCTGCCCGGACGAAGCCGGCTGGCGTACGTGAGGAACGCGGCGTCCCTCTCCACTGCATTATTTTGAAATTTGAAATGCTTAATTAACGGATACTGCGGATTGCGGTGCGATTCTTATGTTATTCTTATGTTATGCGGACCACTTGTCAGCCTTTTAAACACGCTTTAAAAAAATACGTACTGAGATCGTGTTCCAAAAATTTAATGGTATTTTGGGCATCGACAGTACTCGGCTAGAATGGATTGTGACAAGTGCAGGATATCCTGAATACATTTTCCCCATCAAGTCTAATTTTTAAAATACGTATATTCTCTGTACCTGTTGCTTTTGCTATAGGTAATTGCGCTGTTGCCATCGGCGGTAGACATATAAGAGTCATATTTAAAGGTCAAACAGAAGAGAGGGGGGAAAAAAAGCAGAATCGCACACAGTACCTGAGGTGATGCTGTCTATCGAAGAGCCGCTGAATAGACCATGTGAACGTGCTGTCGTCACTGGTTTTATAAACGGCGCTGCGCTGATGGGACACCCAACTGGGACTTGTGTCACTACAGTTACATCATTCGAAATGGTCCACGCCTTTTTACGTTGACCGAGCCGTAAAAGAAATTGAAATCGCTATTTATTATACAAATCATATTTCCTCATTTCTTGTTGGTATGTGTACTCCCTTACAACGACCCAGAAGAAGCTGCCTGGTATAAGAAGGATGGATGTGTTTTGTGTTTATGTCTCCAAATATATCTATGTACATAGTTTTAGAATTTCATTTACTTTATACACACACTTTTCAACGTGGATATAATTGTCGGTAAAGAAAAACAAATATCTAGGAACAGTTTTTTGCTGTGTCTGTGTCACCGGGGAAGATATTAACAAACTCGCCGTTTCCATGGAAACCAAACCCGCTCAAGCGAACTGACCCACAGACAAACTAACCCGGTGGCTGGCTCGTAGTATACAATCAATATCGGCGAAATACAAGGAAGTTCAGTTTAGACTTTAAATGTTGATGATAATATTTTTTAAATGAATTCAAATGCTGCATTTATTCAAACAGTAAAATAAAAATGTTTAAAACACATAGATCAGTAAATAAGCCAGATAAATCATTATGCGGTAGACTCTAGGAACCATTTATGGCTATGTTTGTGTAGACAGGGAAGAAATTACAATCGGGCAGTTACCATGGAAACGATTTGACCCCCGTTTTTAAGGAGCTAACTCGGTAGCATCCAAGCAAGTTGTTTGCAATCAGTATCCACTTTCGCCGCTGAGCACATTTGTGTCATTGACATGTAGGATATCGTCTCTGGCAATAACAGCGGCGACTTGAACGACCAAATGGTTACGGCAACTTTGTCGAAATCCAGAGAGGATAAAGTGGCAGCTACATGGTGGGGCAACATGTGAATATTTGTTCTTATTTTCATACTTGATAAGTTTGTGTTTCGTAACGTAACAAAAAAAAAAAACAACACGAGCTCATTGTGATAGATTATTGATAGAAACAAAAGGAACGTTGATTTCACATGATTTATCTGGTATGTCGGCGCATACTGGACATCGTACGCCACATTTTAATCCACACTCCAGTGTAGGTCTGAAATCAAGGACAGCATTGTTAAGATATCCTATTTAGAAGGTCACAATTTCATTCGATTTCGATTCTTCAGGCTGTCATTCAATCTGATTTCAACAGGTTGTGATTCGATTCGACATCGAGTCAGTAAGAAGTAAAAACACACAAATACGAGTACTTTTTGACAATATTGAAATATTCAGTCTTGCTCTCAGTGCCATAAACTACTGTATGTGGCAAGTCATCTCACTTTAGATATAAAACGTCTGGAAAAAATGCACATGACTCATTTGTGCATTTGGAGTACAAAGATGATCAATCATGCAGGTTGTGTGCAACACTTAAAAAGTGCACGTTGACTTGTTGAAAGTGTAAATAAAATAAAATATTTGTACATGAATGTATTTGTGCATATGGAGGGCAAAAGTAGAACGTGTTGCATTGCATTCACAAATCCATATTTTTACTCACGTACCTAATGATGTGTTTATTTTTGATTAACTTATCCAGAGCTTTGTCTATGTGCACAAGCACATCTTGATGTATTCTATTTTAGATCGGTAAAACATAACTTGCGTCATTTACTTTTGTGCTTTGGGCTGTGCGTTCCAGTTTCAGAATGCAAGACGGTGGGGACACCCAGGACAGTGGACTGGGACACCTGGAGGCCCTGGTGGCCAATAAAGAGAGGGAGTGGAAGGAGCTCCACGCGAGAAGAATTCATCTGTTGGAAGATTCTCTGAAAAAGGCAAAGGAGGAGTGTTCTTCTCTTCGGTAACAATTTGAAATAATGCATATCAAATGGCTGTTTGCATTAAATCACATGATTGTTGCGGACTAGCAAATGAAATGTCTCAACGGCAAATACAGTTGAACAGTAGTTTGAGGTTGAACCTTTGAACTCTTGCAGTGTTACGTCATGTTACAAAGGAGACTATTTCCCCACGCCGGCCGTGACAGTCTTGTACCATACAGACGGACTGGCTTTTATTTGCAATGGTTTTGAAATGTGTCGCTGGGATATCTGCGGCCCAACTCCATACAATGGTTTGTTGATTATCAAGAATAACCAAGCGATTCTGTGCAAAAAAATACACATCACGGTTAAAAAAACAAAACAAATTCAATGCTACGAGGACGACAAATGAAACAATGCAAACCACTTACTGAGACACGATTTGCTCTAGGTAACTGATGTCAACTGTCTCTACGCCTAAGGCAAAAAATACTGAGCGATTGAGTCATATCGCATTCAATCTAAAGTCAATATGAAACTTGATGATTTTCTTTTCATCGTGTTCTCTCAAAAGTCTCTTATTGTCACTCGAGTAAAATTATCTTGTGTCTTAGCGCTAGTTTGCACACAATGGTGTCTAGAAGATGACCTAATCCATTGTTTATTGGCACTTTTTTTTTTTGGAGACATCAAAACCAGAAGCTAAAAGAGGATTTCCAGTACAATCTCTCGATCCTGGATGAACGGGAGAAAGAGCTGGAGCGCTATGATGTCATCACTCTCAGGGCTGTGAACGCAGAGCAGAACAGGTAGAACAACAACAACAGTCATTTGCTTTGGTCCATGTTTGATTTGAGTTCCAATTTGCATGGCATTCCTTTCACGACGTTAGATGACAAAAGAACAGCTCAAGCTGCATCATTAATTCTGCATTTTAATCATTTGATTGGCTGAGCGTTGTTGACTTTCAATGCCACCAATTCATTTGATGACCGTGTCTCGTGGATTACAGCAGAGGAACAAACAGGACAGGACCGGTCCTGCCCAAACAGTAAAAAAAAACTGCTGTCATTTACAGGCAGGAGGAGCTCGGCCGTCTCCGTCTCCAGGTTGCCGCGCTGGAGGAGAAGCGAGCCAAGGATGCCGAGGCGAGACAGGAGGAGCTGCGTCTCAGCCAGAAGCGAGCTGCTCAACAAAAGCTGCAGTTGGATGAACTCAGACAGTGAGTCTGGAGGAGGAGGGGAATAAAATAGAAGGAAATGAGTTGGATGTGAATAGTAGCATTCGGCAGGATGTGACATTGCATTAAAACACTTTTTTTTTTTAAGATTTGAAAGCAACGCTCAACACCATAGCCAATGTAAGATGGCTCAATTTAAATGTAGATAAGGTAGAAAAATAAAATAAATGGCCAAGTGCACGGAATAAAGTCTAAGTAGTCAAAAAAAAACGTTATGGGCATTACATGGTGGAGTGCTTGGAAATCTTCAAAGTTGGATACTACTACCCCACCCAATCTTAAAGAAAGACCGATGTTGTTTGATGGGTGGGCTCCAGCCTTGTCAGGAAGTGGTGCCTCTTCCTGCGCAGTTTGTCCCTGTCGTCCACATTGATCTCATCAATGCCGACGCAGACTGCAGGTGGCCTGTGTCCAGCGCCGCATTGTTCTTAAAAGCTCTTAATGAGGTTGTACGATCCGCAGCACGTAACAAAGACCCCCCGGCAGACTTCTGTATTCACTTTCTTTCCCATCCCTACCAAACACTCGTTTCATCTGAGAACTTTTCTGAATGTGGGAGGAAGTTGTGAAGTTCTGTTTCAAGTTGAAACGTGTATTGAGGGGGGGAACAAGGGAGGTGAAAGTTCCCCGCAGTGCTCTGGTGTTCCAGACGCTATTGTGACGTCGAGACCCTCAACCTGACAGACTGAGATCTGAGGACACACTTGATGTGTAGTTCAAAAGCAGTTCATTCCAACACCAGTGACATTGGAGCACTTGTCCTTACCGCTTGAAAATGACGATTTCCGTTCTCGGCCACGTTGCCTCCCGTTGGTGAATGAGTAACTATAGTCAAAGAATTCATCAAATCATGATGAAAAAAAAAAGATTCTTAATTTCCCCCATCTGTGTGTGTGTTTGTGTGTGTGGA